ATCACTGTTCCTTCATATAGTTAAAAACAGGTTGAATAGTTGGAAGATAACTGCGGAACACTGTATGAGATATTAAAATTTGCTGAAAGGCAAGGTAATAGACCATTTATAACATGGGACACACATAGCATTCCCTAATTATGAGCTGTCATTAATAGTTTCAACAAAGATTATAGTTTTAGCCCACCGTTTCCCCGCTCGTTGCTCCGATCTAATCTTGCCGTTGTTTGTAAATTAAAGTTGGCCAAAGATTAACTAAAGTGCTAGGTTTTCTTTTAACACCTGATTAGCTAAAGAATAGCAGTAAAATAAAAAGAATTAAAACTGGCATTTGACCGAAAACCCATTATCACTCAGAACAATTTTTATTACGTGTCTACGGATTGCAGGATATCCGCTGATACTTTGCAGTTGATATGTTCGAAGAAGTCTTGTTATGGAGCCAACAAAATGGTGCTGTTTAGCGTCCATGCACTGCAGTTATAAAATACGATGGAGCCGTAGCTCGCTTTAACGGTTCCTTAAGCTACTACAAGCAATGGTACAGTGCAGATGCGCCGCAGAAGTGAGAGGAAAGACACCTATAAGAAGAAGACTAATACCGGCTACTTAAAATATCGCACTTCCCAACGTGGTCATAGACACACGTCGCTGAGGGTTCATTTTAAAACTTTAGTTTAACACTGATCTTAAGGCGACAGGATATTAGCGGAAAGCGTCAGATTCCGTCCCTCCCCTTTGACAAGTTCTCGGTGAGGAGGGATTCATGACTTTGACCTGCCGTCTTGTCGTACGCCCATGTCCATAACCTGCTGGCCTAGACTGATTTTCCAAACAGCCCCTAAGACAGCGAACCTACAAAGTTCTGCATATGGAACACACCTTCAGCGTATACTGGTCCAACGGCAGAGTCTTCATTTCAGACGGCAGCGAATAAAGAATACACATAACGACTTGTTCAACGGTCGACGAAGGATCGCAAGTAAATTTCAGAGGGTCCCCAGGCACTTCGTCGACGTAAACCAAAAGTTTGACGCTCGACAGCGACAATTTCAAGCCTTTCAACCGGCGACTGATCACCAGACCGCGGAAACGGTCCGACGATGACGTGTTTCTTATGCTTTCGACCAGATTATGAAGGGACGCCAACCAATGTGGGGTGAATTTGATAAGTCTCATCGGTTTAAGGTCGAACGACATGGAAACTCCGGGATCTTCTAGCGGAGGCACCTTTTTAACTTCTTTATAACGGGGGCCTTTGTCATTGTTACAGTTCGTTTTAAGCACAAATTTAGGGTCGCTGTGGGAAAACGAAGCGCCTGAATTTTCCATCGCAGCATCCGCACGTATTTGTTTAGTGTCCCCGAGTGACGAGAATGGGTCAAAATCGTGAAGCAACTTGCTCGCAAGACAACTGTCTTTCAAAGATGATGAACTGTCACTGCGATACTCATCGATGGACACCGAAAAACTGGATCTGAAAGCAGGACGGTGGTGAAGAGACGTTTTCTCATCCCCATTGCGTTGAACGCATCGGATGCCTGAAAGGTACGGTCCAGCTTCGTGCAGGGCAACGACGGCACTAGGCGTCACAACGTCTGATTTCTCGTATCGTTTCCTCAGTTCAACGTCGGAATTTGAATATCCCACGTTGCCATATACTGCGCAGCTTCTTCCCGCATTTCCTACATCTTCCAACGACCGTCGTCGATTCAATAACCTCTTCACGGACCGGATTTTAGATTCTCGCTCCGCCTCAACAGGATCAACCCAACTGATCAAGTCGCTGCCGCTCGATTTCGCTGCATTTTCTTCACTTTTGCATTCATTCGACATGATTGAAATTAGGCACTCAAAACAGCCACCGGTTTCAACGAAATCACATCATATGATGAGCTCTTTCACAGTAAGATATGACGGCTTACGGTGTCTGTCAATTGGCGCATTTCTAAACAGAAACTAAATCAGTAACAAAACATGACAGAGTACGGTGTCGTCTCGTTGTCTTGAACGAGATAATTATGTAGCAAAACAAACGCTTTTTTGAGGCAGGGAAAAAAATTCCGCATTCTAAAACGATGAAAGAAGAGTGGCCAACCATGTAACTCGCCTGAAAGACAAGCGACGGACTCCGAGAATGCCACGGACACCCTCACGATCATACAACAGTATGTGAGACTAAGTGATTTTCAGGTTAACCAAAAAACAACACAAAGTTGAGATCACAGAATGCAGGAAAAGATCCTACTCCTTTATGACGGATTCATAAAGAGAGCAAGTCAGATAATGCACTTGGAGAGTACTACTAAACATTTGACGCGTTTCCTACGAACATCGATGACATCATCAAAATTGAATAAAGAAAAATGCAAGTTAACGCTGTGGAGCAATAACGAAGTAGGAATAATATGGTACCGAGTGACAGTTGCGTGTCAGTTCAACACGAAGTCGCATTTTTTAAAACATATTATTAAATAATTTGTCGTTTGACTTATATCAAGGGGAGAACAAATGCTCATTTTACATTTTCTGTTTCCAAGCCAATGTATGAAAGCATTACTCAAAAACAGCTCTTTAGCAGTTTCCTGGTAACGTTTTATGTAGTGCCAGAATATTGAACACAGAACTTCTGGATTGCTGATGTTTCAACATTTATTTTAATTTAACGACTCCGTAGCGACCCTGCCGTTGCACGACCCATGCCCGGATGAGAAAGGAGGAGGGTTGGAGAGCGTGGCAAGTCTCCCTAAAATCAAGACACCCGCCAATCATGGTATTAGAACTCATGGTATTGAAGCCATCGAAAATTATACAGGCTCGGTCGTCGCCCCGGTTACCAACGGCCGCGCAGGCTCTTGGAGGACTGGGGCAGAGTGCGAAAAGTCGGAGATCAGAACCTGTTCATTGCCCTACGCCAGCAGAGGGCGTGGCAGCACAACGACGGCTGATGAAGACCGATGCAACGATGACGAAGACACCAGTCAGCAACGGAGTCGCTACCCGTTCTAAACAGAGGAGGCAGACAGCTCGATGCCATTATAGCACATCAGAAAAGGCTCCACGAGAACGACACCACCAGTAGGAGCTTAAAGCCGGAAATGGGAACGAATCTTCTCTCAGACGAAAAGAGCAAAAATTAGTTGATGAAGCAAAAAGTACTAACTCGACATTGTTGGACTCCCGTCAACGAAACGCCCAAGCATTGGACTCCTGAACCTCAATTGATGGAAACTCTTCTACTCAGCCGTCCATATCACGACGCGCCCTCAGGCCGGTGTCGGTGTTGCGGTAGAACCCAATCTCGCCTATGGAATGATTAATTGGAAGAATGTCAACAGAAGGGTAGTAATCTTCCGACTGAAGCAACAACAAGCTAAAACGTCGACCCTGCTACATGTCTATGCGCCTAATTTGGACAGAAAACGTGGCACTTTCCTTGAGGAAGTGCAGGGTTGCTCTGTCAGAAGTGGCGAATGGAGAGTCCGTCATACCTATAGGCGATTTTCATGTGCATGTCGAAGTAGACGATGAAAACTGGAAAGGCATGATCTGAGAAAACGCCTGGGCGACCTCAGAAATAACAGCAAGAAGTTGTTGTGGTTTTGTGCAAACATGGGATTGTCCATTATGAACACCTTCGTCGAGCACCGAGGAGTGGTACCGAGAAGCTTATGCACAGAAGTCGATGATTTATTTGATAATCCCTTCATCTGACTTAAGACGCTCAGTAATGAAAGTCTGCGTTAAATAAGACGCAGAGCAATAAACCTGTCATCACCCTGGCCTTGGCGCGCTGCGCTGTAAGAAATGGAATACCATACGAATATATCGTGGCAGAAGCAATTTGAGAATCAAACGGGAAGCATTATGCTGGGTGGACACGAGAGCAAAATTTGCAAACAACATCGTACGAATGTTTGAACAGATCAGAATGATAACAACTGGTGTTGAAACCGAGTGGCAGCTCTTTAACAGCGACATACTCGAGGCTGCCGCCGAATGCTGCGGATACAAATGGGTTAGCCTGCCACCTGGTGGTTAGAAAAGAACTTCATGGCGGACATGAGTGGTGGAACTGGCAGTTAAAGAAATGAAAGCAGCGTTCAAAAAACGGTTTGGAAACAAGGAACCTTCTACTCGTGTGCGGTAGGTCGAGGCACGCAAGGCGGCAACCATAACAGTGACAAAGGCAAAGGCTGATTCCTGGCAGAAGTTCCGTGAGGTGTTGGAGTCGAATTTCCACACGGCAAACAAAGTATTCTGGCAGACAATCCACCGGCTCTGAGCAGAAGAAGAGGGCAGTTTGAGACTCTTGAAGGGCAGGTCTGGACACCCTCTTACCAAGGATGACGATATTTTCTTCGGCGATGGATGGAGTACTTTGAGGAATTCCTTAACTCAGCGCAACCGCAGGAAGACTCACCTGTGGAGCAGAAGGATACGGATATTAGTATCTCTGTAGATGAAATTACAGAAGCTGTGAAGAGCTTGAA